TTATGCCACAGAAAATACATTCTGATTCCATGTAGCAAGTCAACCCACAAACATGAAGCTGAGTGTTGGTTTTATTATTCTTAACTAATTTGTGTTTCCTTGAGAGTAGGAAGCAATGGTAAATTTCTGGATTTATGTAGCTGTGCTTGGGAAGAAAAAGCAACTTCCATATCAAATCTCAACAATGTTTTTTCTTTTTCTATAACACCAATACTTTCTTTCTAGAATGTTCTATATGTCTAAAATAAGTTTAAGCAGTTATGTTTTATCAATTACGTATGACATTTCCATTCATAAATAAGGATAACAACTCTTCCATATATTAGATAAAAGAATAAGAAATTATGAAAACTGTTAAGAAATGTTCAATCATATTTACCAGAGAAGGAAGAAAAAATACTTCTTAGACTTGCAAATGCAGGTATTCTTTCATTTACTCATTGAGTACATTTTTTGTGGTTACAAATTTGAAGGCAAACAATTTGTTGGAAACTGAGAGGTTAATGGTAAACAAATCATGATCCAAGCATCAAAAAGGCCCACAGGGAGTAAGACAACACTGAAGCAAAGGTAATTGCAATACAGGGAGATGAGTACTTAAAAAATGTGCACGTTAAGATTATGTCTGTCACTTTAAAATCAGATATTATATTAAACTATCATTTTGGAATTATTAACTTATCTTTCCACTGTAGTATCTAGGTCTATTGGTATTCTCCCAGGGCATTTTCTTTTTTTCTTTGTTATTATTATTTTTTTAATTGAAGGATAGTGGATTTATAATGTTCTGTTAGTTTCAGGTGTACAGCAAAGTGATTCAGTTATACATATATATTCTTTTTCAGAGTCTTTTCCATTATATGTTATTACAAGATATTGAATATAGTTCCTTGCGCTATACAGTAGGACCTTATTATTTATCTATTTTATTTGTAGTAGTCTGTTAATCCCAAACTCCCAATATGCCTTCCCCCGTCACTCTATGTCTGTGAATCTGTTTCTGTTTTTATAAATAAGTGCATTTGTGTCATTTTTTTTTAGATTCCACATATAAGCGATATCATATATTTGTCCTTCTCTGTCTGACTCATTTCATTTAGTATCAAAACCTCTAACTCCATCCATGTTCCTACAAACAGTATTATTTCATTCTTTTTTTTTTAATGGTTGAGTAAATTCCATTGTAAAGACACCCCACATCTTCTTTATCCATTCATTTGTTTATGAACATTAGGTGCTTTCACCTTTTCTGATATATATGCCCAGGAGTGGGATTACTGGATCACATGGTAGTTCAGTTTTTAGTTTTTTAAGGAACCTCCATACTCTTCTTCATAGTGGCTGCACCAATTTCGATTCCCACCAACAGTGTAGGAGGGCTCCCTTTTCTTGCCAACGTTTATTATTTGTAGATATTTTGATGATGGCCATTCTGACCAGGGTGAGGTGATACCTCATTGTAGTTTTGATTTGCATTTCTCTAATAATTAGTGATGCTGAGCATCTTTTCATGTGCTTGATGTTCATCTGTATGTCTTCTTTGGAGAAATGTCTATTTAGGTCTTCTGTCCATTTTTTATTGAATTGTTTGTTTTTTAATATTAAGTTATATGAACTATTTGTATATTTTTGAAATTAATCCCTTGTTAATCGCTTGCAAAAGGTTTCTCCCAGTCTATACGTTGTCTTTTCCCATAGTGTTTTCAATATCAGTACCACTGTAAAGTCAACTATTAGAGAATATCTAATATGGTGTAACTCAAACATTTTTGAGTAAGGAATCATACTTGTCCTAATGGTGACTTTATATTTTGGCAGCAAGCAAATGGATTGATTCTCAACACCTCTTCTCTTCCATGTGTTGTGAACTGATTCTATATTCATGGTAGAAGGAGAAGTGAATTAAATAAAACACTTAGCAACACAAGGAGGCTCAACTGTGTACACTTTTTTTTTTTTTGCAATCAATGAAAACTATTACTTATCGGATCTGTTTCTCCTTTATGACTCAATACTGGAATTACCAAGCTCTCGAAATACTTTGAATCTTTGCCCTCATTTAGAAACTGTTTTAATGTGATATTTTAGAAAGAATATAGATAGATATAGACATAGAAGTAGATACATGTCTAGTCAATCAAATTACTTTTTGTGAAACAATTATGATAATTTGCCTTTAATTTTGGAACTTAACGATGTATTCAAAACCTTTATTTGCACCCCCTGAATAAATATGTTGATAAATCTGGTAGTTGGGGGATTTCCAATGTCAGTTGTGTTTATGAATCTAGAAAAATATGCCTGAGGTGCAAGAAAATTAATTTCATGCTCCCTAACTCATCTTGCACGTATTAGTAGGAGATAAATTCTGTGGGAAATCATTCAAAAAAGGTCTGTTTCTAAGCCCATGTTCATGGAGGAGCCAAAATATTAATGCTCAGATTTCCAGACTTACTATGGTGTATACCTGGTGATCAGAGGATGACCTTGGATGGTTACTCAATTTTCCTATGCCCAGGTTTCCTCATCCATATTATGGGGATAAGTAACCTTTGTTTATATTCAATAAATCTTTCACTTAAACCAGTGATAAGTGCTAATGCAAATATTAGTTGGACTATTTCACAAGTCCACTGCCCATATATATTATTTTAGAATTCAAATCTAAGAAGATCCTCTATGCCCAATATTTCTACAGCTGGAGTTCAAAACCAACTCAGTACAATTCTTAAAATACTTCTATTTTTTTTTAATGATTAATAACATTTTCTACCACAACTCTTTCCCCCATTTTATAAGTTGTACAAAGAGCTTAAAAGTAATTCATATTTGGAGAAAGGCACCCCTACACACACCCAGCAAGGGAAACTTCCATGCAGGTCCAGTCCAGCATGTGAGGAGTGTAGAAGTTGCCACTTATCTTAAGTAAAATTTGAACAAAGTGAAAAATCAACAACTCTCCTTAGATCTGTCAGAAAATTTAGATCACAGGGCAAATTTCTGACCCCCAAATTAGGGAGACAGACAGGAAAATACAAAAAATCTCCACTTACCAGGGTAGGAACCTCCATGGGAACCAGTGTTGAGATAGGAAAACCTGAACTGAGGCTGATGAATTGCTGGAGGCGCAGTGTAGACAAGTTTGAGAGCTCAAAACTCCAAAAGGAGCCAGTCATTGAGGGCCTGTCACTCTTCTGTTAGTTTTACCTCCAGGAGCTCCACCAGGTGCTCCCAGTGAGTATTGAGAAAAATTTCATGCTTCCAGGAGGAAGAGAGGAAAAAGGAAGATTTTGAAATGTGCTAGAGCATGCTGTTCTTCTGAAGACATCCCCTCAGGAGAAACTATTTTGCCAAAGCCTAAAACATTCAGGGCTTTTACCAGAGCCTAACTTACCTGGGGGAAGAGCTATATCTAACTCCAGTCAGCAATAGTTATCCACTGGGAGAAGGAAATACCTAATACCCTGCTTTTAAACCTGTAGCATATTGCCTTTTAGATGAATATGCCAGTCAGGCACTGGGGAAAGGGAAATGCTTTTCTTTTTATTAGAAAATAGCCTAATACATGTGACAATTTTATAAAGAGAAACAATCCTCCAGCAAAAATATAAAATTACCAAAGTGATGCATTAATAAAAAAATGAATTACTCCTAAAATTATGATCTGAACCTGACTCCTTAAAGACTTTTCTCCAAAAACTGTTATGGAATAAATACTCTTATATTATATGGACTTGAAAAACATAGAAAAGTAAAATATGTTACCATTCCATTCACATTATGAAACATACAGATCTCCCTTGACTTATGATGGGGTTACATCCTGATAAACCCATGGTAAATTGGAAATACTGTTAAGTCAAAAATTCATTGAATACACCTAACTCACTGAACATCATAATTTAACCTAGCCTACCTTAAACATGCTGAGAACACTTACACATTAGCCTACAGTTGTGCAAAATCATCACACACAAAGCCTATTTTATAATAAAGTGCTGAATATCTCATTTTTATCTCAGTAGTTTACTGAAAACTATACTGGAAGTGAAGAACAGAATGGTTGCATGGGTACAGAATGGTTGTAAGCGTATAAATCGTTCACCCTTGTGATCCTGTGGCTGACTGGGAGCTGCAACTCTTTGTGGCCACCCAGCATCACAAGAGAGTATCCTGCTGCCCATCACTAGCCCTGGGAAAGATCTAAATTTGAAGTATGACTTCTATTGAATGCGTATCTCTTACCAGCTTAAAGTAAAAAAGTCATAAGTTGAACCATCACAGACCATTTGTATTTAGCACCAAAACTCAAAAAGGCCAAAACAATTTTATAATTTAAGTTTACTTATGAATAACTTAATGAAAATTGTACATACGATTTTAAAACAAACTATATCACATTGAAATAATTATCCACTGTGACATGTTTTTCTTCTCCTCACAAATAAACCATATAATATGAGAAAAACCACTAGCAGAATCCAAAGCATTAGCAGGAAAAATAATAAACATGTTATTAGATAATAATCCTTGATTAAAAACTAAAATTATCACATATTTGTATATGACGTTATATAAATAGAGAATTTCCTCAACATTTAAAACCAGGAAGATGGATGTCTGCATAAGTGGGAAATGTAGACGGTTCAATCTAGTGAAAACAGAGAATTTAAGCTATGGAAGTTCTCAAATGCTATGCTAAAGACTTTGGATTTTTCTCTGGGAGGTAAAGGAGAAACAATGGTGGGCTCCACTATTGGGTAAGAAGGAATAGTCCTCAGTGAGCAGACTGAACAGATAGCAACTCATGGGACTGTGACAGACCTGCTTAGCTAGAAAGAGGGAGGGTTTTTATCACAAAGAATGATACCATGGGTTAGGCTAAAGTCAACAGTCTTCCAAAGATTAAGATCCAAGAAGTTAAAAAAAAAATGCCTAAAGTAAGTAAATAACTTTGTATTCTACTGTGATCATGTAAAAAAATCTTGTATTCATTTTAGATCGGCTAAAAAGAATTGCTGAAATGAGGTATCAGAGAGCGGAAGAAATTTGGAAATCTTTTTCCTTCAAGTTGAGCGTAATTAATTAAGCCGTGTCTTCAATCCAATGGTAAAGACTGCCTAACAAACGCCATCTGTTCTAGGGGAGTGCAGTGCTCTCTCAACTCTTCCTCCCTCCATTGGTCTATTTCTATCTATTATAAACCACTCTCCTCTCATAAATGGAGATGAATATATGTGTATTGAGAAAGATCATAAATGAATTTGGAAAAATATAAATAGATTTTGTGTTCCTTATAAACAGTGGTGAAAGTTGCCTCAATTCAAAATGTTACTAGAAGAACCAGCCTCTGCCCTGTCTCTCCTTCATTCTTTTACCTCAGGAATTTGCACAGGGAAATAAATCCTATACTGTGTTGTCCTACTTATGGAGACATAGCAAAGCAGGGCAATACCTCCCCCAAACTTTTGACCTGGAATTTCAAGTATTTTAATTTCAATTCCAGCTGATTGTATAACCAAAGAAATATGTAATTTTGTTACTTATCATGGAAATCTAATGGAATTCATTTATTTTGCATCACTAAAATTTAGGATTATTGGCTAGAAACGTTAGATGGAAGCGAAAACTTTTTACATAATAATGTAAAGTACTAGTCATTGTTCAGATAGTTATCTGTGCAGAGCATATTATATTCCCAAAAAAGTGCTTCTCTCTCTGAATATAGATCTAGATTGTAATATTTTTGAGATTATTGTTTTTCCTTGGGAAGAGTATATGAATGTTTGTTCTGGTATCCATGAAAAACCTGGTGCCATTGGAAAAAATTCAAGACTATATTATTCAAGGAACTTTGGATTGTGACAGGAAATTAACCCAAATTGGATTAAGTTAAAAAAAAATCTTGGTTAACATACTGAAAATTCTAGAAGTACCAGCTCTTATCATGACTGGATCTAAGAGTTTCTATTATCTTCAGAGCCAATTTCTCTTTACATGTCAGCCCAGTTTTCCTCTGGCCTTATTTTTATGCTTTTATGGTGTCTGCTGGAAGGTCAGACTTACTTCATCCTCTCTGCTAGCAGTCTTAGGAAAAAAACAAAAAATGAAAACAAAAAACCCCCCAAAAACTTGTCTTTCCTGGCTGCTCCAGAAAAATTCCTCGGATTACTTTGATTAGAGCAAAGAGTGGTTAAGCAGTCACCATGACCAGACCACAATACCAATTGTCCAGATCTGGATCATGAGCTCACCTCTGATTCCAGGGGCTGGGTAAGCCCCACCTAAACCACATGGAATGAAAGTGGGTGGAGTTGATCCCCAGGGGAAGTCAAGATGCTATTACAGGAATGAGGGGAACAGTACTGTCTCTGCCAAAGCAACACAAATCCTGCCCGCAGCCTAGGCTGGCTTCGCTTCACACTGATGGAGAGACCTGAATGGCAACCCAACTTTAAGATTCAGAACCCGTTCTAGACTATTTCCTGCAGGCTCTCCTCCTCTCAGATATAACTCCCACTCATGCTGTCGTGCTCTGACCTTGGACTCACTACCTCAGTCTTAGGGAAATGCCCTGAGGGATGATTATTGCATCCCAGGAGTGCACAGATTGAGAAAAGGCCAGGGGTTAAAAAAATAAAAAATCCACGTAAGTATCAAGCAACCTTTTTCTGGAAGGGAACTAGAGGGTTTTACTTGGAATGATCCCCAAACCTACATTAAAAGCTGCAACATCCATAAACTTCATGGTTGCGTATTAGTGGGAGAAGAGTGACAGGTTAGTGATGGAAATTGTGAGCCTCTTGAATGGGCACTCACCACCTAGAGAGGCCCAAGTTTCAGGTGATAAACAGCAGTGAGCAGAGCAGTGACCAAAGGCCATGCAGAAAGCAAAGCTGAAAGGAGCACATGACATAGACAACAGACGCCAAGTCAATGACTCAGGAGTTGACATGAGACAAACCCTCTTGTTCCTCTATTTTCCAAATAAACTAGAAGGTGACCCTTGGATGCAAGAGGTTGACATTTCAGTTACACAATAATAAAAACCAAAAAAAAAAAAAATTAGAAGCAACAGCAAAAGGTACAGTGTGTTATTATTTTCAGATGGGAAAACTGGAGTGGAATGACTATCTCACAGTGACTATTTTAAGCTGTGAAGACATAGCACAATATTGCAAAGTGATTTGGCATTTTAATAGGCCACAATCAAATGTTGATTAAAAATTGGAAGCTTGGGCTTCCTTACATAAAAATGTTCTTCATCTGCTCTTCAGATGTCACTTTCTTATCCCTGCCACCTTCATTCAGTATGGTCCTGCTGTTTTCTAGATGGCACCAATCAAGACTAGACTGGGGCAGAAGGGCAATTTGAGAACTTGGTGAAAAAGAATAAAAGATGGGGACTTTTTGATCCCAAACATTACAAAAAATTATAGATGTAATTATGAAATAATAGTCACTTGCATTCAATAATGCAGTGTTCTTTATGTGTGTATGGGTGTGTGGAGTGTAGGTAGGGGAACAGCTTAGGAAATCGATTAAACGTATCCTTGACCCTTTGAGAGTTACTAAGACCCTGACACAGATTTAAATGGAAAAGAGTGTTTATGCAAAGGTGTGCTGAACGGAACAAGTGATGTACCAGAGAGAGCACAAACTTTATGTTGTAATGCAAACTTTATGTTTCTTTGCAATCATCAGTTGAATTCTAGGATGATGACCCCAGTAAGGGTCTATTCTTGGTTGAAACCTGAAGATCTTATAGAAAAGAGGATTAATGCTCTCCTTTCATCTTGTATGAACTCCTTCCGGGGCAAATGAAGAGCCAAAGTCTCTTTTTTACCCTCTGGGCCTCTCTCACTGGAGTATCTAAACCGATCATAGACAATCCGCTGAACTTTGGACCTGGCTAATGTGCGCAAATAGGAACGAATCAAACTTCCAGAGAAATTGTTGACAATTTCCAGCCATCATTAATGTTCACTGCTCCCTTGGATTTCAGCCACGTTCTTACCTTTAATCACTGGACACCCTTCGGATAATGCGCCACACCTGGGACTGGGGATAATTTACCACTTGCAGATGGGTTAGCACTGCGGTTCACTTGGACGGAGTCTTGCATTTATTCTGGGTCCCAGAGGCCTTCCTTTTATAGTGCAGTTATATCCACTAAAATTATAACTTCCAAAATTCTGTTCTGTTTTATTGCTCTCGCGAAGTATTTATGACCTCTACTGCTTAAGTGGACATTTCTAGAGATTTACTGCTGAAAACTTTCAGGAGAACTGCACAAGATCGGTGCTGCCAGTGCGGAACTCCTAGACTGAGACTCTATAAAAACTTTTTTTGTAAGATGCCAGGAGAAAGTATATCCAGCTTTAGTTTCTGATACCATGAGAGTAACTCATGTTGAAATATGGAAAGTTTATTTTGTGAAGCTTCACCATCGAATAGACTTAGTAAGCACCTTATATTGTGCAAATGAATATGGTGACTTTTTTTCCTCCTAATTTAATGTAATTTCACATAGCCAGGGATAGAGTTATTTCCTAATATGTTAGGAAACCTGTTAGTGAATTGTGCCTTTTTGCATTTTTATGCTTATACTCAAGAGAGACCTCTTTTGTCAACTTCCTGTCCACTTTTCATATCAATTTCCTTCTCAGCTAAGCCATTCAGTGTTCTCACATAGACTTGGCAGGCCGAATTTCCAGGGATTATTACTGAGAGGAGTCCCAGGAAAAAACGGGCAAAGTATTTTCTGGGTTGAACTGCCTTTTGATGCCAGATTGAAGGCTTTTTCACCATCTAGACTAGAACATCTGAGAGAAAGGAGTGTTTGTTTCAATCATACATAAAGGCCTGGGCTGGGAAGAGGAGTGGTTAGCAGAAACCTGAGCGCTTGCCACACTCTGTCACCAGAGGAGAAACCTCTGTCTCGTGAAATTCTTACATCTCCTGTCCCCTTATCCCTGTTGTGACACTGCCATCAGCATAAAAAGCCCCCATTGTACCCTTGTCCTGAAAGCACGGATATATGTGCACAAATAAGAATATTAGAAGGGTATGCTTGTTATTTAGGATTCCTGGGGCCTACAGGTTATAAAAACTAACACACACATACACACACGCGCACACAGGGCTGGCTATCTATACCAACACAGCATGCATGTAATTTTCAACAAAGCCAACTAAAGAAATTCCATCTGACAATAATTTCCAAGTAATGCTTTATGTTTTGCTGGCACTATTAGCTGTGACATGATAAAATTCAATAACAGACCCCAATCCTGCTGAGTCACTTGGTGACACCAGTAGCCACTCAGCTTGAAGACCAAAAATGGCCCTTCCAGATGCTCAGGTCACCCCGGGCCATGCGTCTCAGAGTTGCATGGATTCACTGCCTTCCCCAGAACCAGAAACAGGAACTTCCAAGCATCTCTCATTTAGTCACACTAGGGAGGATGGTGGGAGGAGGAGAAGAAAGATGAAAGAGACATATTAAACCTATTTGGGCACATGATTTCTCAACCACCCCCACCTCTTCCTCTATGTCTTCTGCCTCCACCCATACTCTCTCTGTTACAGCCACAGTGAGCGACTACTTCCTGAACACATCATGTTCCTGCAGGCCTCGTGCTCTGCAAAATATAGTTTGTCTTGGGCCAGGGAGTACCTAGTTGTCCTTAGGGACTTACAAGTGTTAAATCCTTTGTGAAAACATCATTAACTCCCTCCCTCTGTGTGCCCCTAGTACTTATACTCATTAACTCAGGGCTCAATTGTAATGATTCTGCGCCTTTATCAGTTTCTTACAAAATATTCCAACCCCTTTGAGGTCAGGAATTTGTCTATTTTCATACTGATAATCACCTTTCTCTTTTCCTGGTCCCAGCACTTGTTCTTTTTGCCCCATCCCAGATATCTGGACCCTTTCTTCTGTCTTCTCAGCATGTTTAAATTTGCAGAAACTCATGGAGGAAAACTGATAGATTCAAAATCCAAGGAATCTAAGAATCTGATACCCTGAACTCTCCTGTCCCCCAAATGGTTGTCTCCAGAATAGCGAACCCAGAGTATGTATTCAATGAATCTCATAGAGAAGGCAGGGTGGACAGAAATAGAACAAATGGTGACCAGAAAAGGCAGTCCTGGATTTTCTGTGTAAGTGATGTGATGGTGATGCCAAGATGACTAAATGCCATGCAGTCTTAGAGTAAAACCATTGTTATTGATCTTGAATGTTGACTGGAAAAAAAAAATAACTCACGGGAAATTAAAAAATATTATTTCAAGCTAACGAGTTTTGGGTGTTTCCTGTGGTGCCTGACACTATTCTAGGTGGTTTGCAGGTACTATATAATTTATTTCTCATCACAATCTTATGAAGAAGATTAAATATTTCTCCATTTTGCAGTGGAGAAACTGAGGTAGAAAGAAGGGTTAAGTGAGTTGCTGGAGCTCACGCCAGCTGGCTGGGTGGAAGAGATGGG